ATATACAATTTTTGTACGTAACGATTTATTTTATGTCCCTCTTTCAGCTAAATTTATACTCCGAAGTTGGCATTTTTTCAATCTAGCAAATAATTAAGTACATTAAGTACTTCAACTGGTCTGTAGCAGGGGGACCGATATACTCCTGGAAGCACATCATGAGATAGCACAGTAGACAGTAAGAAACAAAGAGAAAAACACAGAGGAGTGCAGACGTGTTAAAACAAAGAGGGTACAGACAGAGGGGGACACATGGAAGTGAAAAAGAGGCAAGCTGTGAAGTGAACTGACCACCTGAGTAATGGCACACAGAGCAGAGTGCAGGTTCTCTGACAGCTGATAAAGGCGGCTGAGCTTTAGAATACCTAATCATTGTCCACGCACAACAGCTCTTCTAAAATGTGTCCTTGGATGCATCTGCTGGCCTGAAGTCAAACGGCTCCAAATGTTAAAGTAAACATGATTTAGAGCACCTCTTTGCTCACTCTGGCTGTCAGACAAGCATGGATAGGGCAAATGGGCTGAAAGAGCTAAAGCGCTAATGTACTAACACTACCACAGTTCTTCTATGGCATCACATGCATAAACCCCTTTTTGGAACGTTTATTTTTAAGAATGCACCAAGGATATATTTGTGTAGAAGAAGACTTTCCCGAAGAATGTCTATGCCTAACCCATGCACAGAAGAAAGGGAAACATTGTGGCTTGATTGTGATTGTGGTTTTATCAGTTAAAATATTGTCAAAAGAGAGTATCTTTTCATTTTATAAAACCATAAAGCAGCATGAATGTAAAGCACACTGACTAGAGGCATCTGAATCATAGGGGGAAAAAAGGTGGCTAGAAAAAGAAATTCCAACATTGGTTACTTGCTCTTGCTATACTTACAACAAATTTCTGCTCCACTCCTCATCTCAACTGTGAAGCAAGGTGAAATGACTATATTGGTATAGGAAGGTTTTTTGTTTTTTTTCTGGTAGAAGCTTTCTATCATCGAGGAACAAATGAATTCCAAAGTGTATCAGAAAAGTGTACAGCAGAATATTAAAGCACCTGTCTGTGATGTAAAACTTCAAAGCTGAGTCAAGCAACATGGCAATCACTCAATATAAAGAAGTATGCCGCCAACGGAGTGACTCAAACAGAGGAAATTTCCCAACATCATTCATTCTCAACTCTGTTGCGGTACCAGAAGCAGATCAGACGAGCAGGATGTCCAAACAAATGTAACCACTGGCTAAGATTAATACCAAAAACAGAGGTTCAAAAATATCATTTTGGGCTATTGGTTTGGGGTGTGCACAAATAGTTGAATATTCGTTATGTAATTATTATTTGAAAAATAAAAACACTATTCGAATTTTACTACGTTTAGCTTTGCTGGCCATAAATGCAGGGAATCCATGATGAATCCTAAGCAGGCATACTCAAAGTCAGTTATAACTAAATGCACTGGGTGGCGGTGTGTAGCATGTTAAAAAGTTGATTGTATTTGATCACAATGTTGGGCGTCTGCCTCGCGAAGTTTGGAATTACTTTGATCAAAAGTATCTTACTAAATGATCTTCCCACAAATGATCAAATGAATCAGTGAAATGGAGTTATCGTAATATCACCACCACAATGAGAAATCACATGAAAACCAAACACCAGTGGACTGAGAAAAGACAGCTGTCCATCACTGTATTCACGACTGCAGGTAAGCGCAGCTGTGCCCAGAGGGAGCTGAGAAGAGAGCTTATCTGACAGCGTAATCTTGAGGCATATGCTGCCTTTAAGTGGTTTAAGAACAGAAATCACAAAGCGCTGTAAGAAACTTTGCTTAGCACACCGCTATCTTTGTGTCTCTGGAACGTCTGTGTCGGCATGCATTCTTATTGTTATCAGACTGAGGAGCCAACTTTCACCCAAGCATGTGGATATTATTGTTTTTCTCAGCATTAACATGTGAAACAATATAAACACAATAAACATAGGCAGACTGTGTATGTACGTTCTGTACTGTAATTGACACAGTCTACTTTATACATACATATATATTTATTTATTTATACAACAGTCCATTCTGGTTCTCAAATCTGATTGGTTGAGACCCGTGTGTTATTGTACTGATATCGCTACAGGAACGCCCTTTCACAATTTTGTATCACTCCGCTTGTTCTACCCGGGTTTATGTTTTTTTTTAATTATTCACTGAGCTAATCGTAGAGTACGTTAGTTAATATAAGAAGAAACATCTAGCTTCGCGGTCTCTCTCTCTCTCATTTGGATGCACGTCTTGCCGCATTGTTTCTCTCTTATAACCTCATTATTTCTCACTAATAACATAACTGAAGTAGCACATGCCCTTGATATGAATTCTAAAAGTGACGTATGTTTAACTGTCAACTTTGAATCCGTGGCGGAAGGAAGTAGTTCCGCACAAAAGAGGGTTTTATTAGGCACTCCTTTGTTTCTTGTTTAATTACACACATGTTCCGTCGAACTGCTGTATAAACGCAATATCACTAGAGTACTCGAGCGATATTGCTCATATATATATATATATATATATATATGTATGAAGAGTTAATTTGCAAAAACCGATAAACGGCACTTTAATGCACGGAAATCAGCAATTTTTTTATTCTTCACATATAGCGCAATCTGAACCCTAAACAAGTTTTGTCAAAAAAAAGGTGGTTTTGTCCACTTTCAAGGCATCACGAGTTCACGTTTTAGTGCAGAAGCCGACAAGCACCCTTGTTGTTTTTGAACAGAAGCCGATAAGCCCATTTTAGCGAATCAGCGCGCTGTATTCAGGTCCAAAGCTGGCTAAAAGTGATCGAGGATGGATAATTTCGACGAACTTGATGAACCTGTGATATCTTCTTCAGGGCGAAAAAGGAAAATAAAAGCTGAAACGTTTTCAAGGAACCTTGTAAAAGCAGCGCGTTACAATGGTGAGGGAAAAGCTCCGTGTATTGCGTGTAATCACATCCATACAGTTTATGATCACAACAACAACAACGTTTGTCAGGCATATTGTCATCTGAGGAGATTACAAAGATTAAACGTGTTTTTTTTTAACTCTAAAACATGAAATGTCGAGTTATCTGCTTTTGCCAAAAAACGACTGTTGGAGTTATCTGCATTTGCTATAAAACAAACTTTTAAAATGAACTTACTTTCAATGAACTTTAGTTTAGTAAATTACCTGCATATATATATATATATATATATATATATATATTTATTTATTTGATTTTTTTCCCCATTCTTACTATTGGTTAACGCTAACTAACAGTGTTTTAGCAAACTTACACTCTGGTCTGGTTTTTTTTCTGGTAACTCTCACTTTCCATTAACTCTCAGTAAATAAAGTTATGTTCTGTCCTACCCATTTCATTGTTTATTAACCTGTTTCACTCAAACACATCATATTACCGGAGTAAAATAGGTTACGAATGCAGTTTCATGCAAAAAAAAACAAAAAAAACAATGTGCAATATTCAAGTCAAACATCATTTCACTTTGTTGAGAGTTGGCTGAAAATAAATCAAGTTTTCAATACATCAACCAAATCTGAAGCTAATAGAAATGCTGATTTAAGGTTGTATGCCCTATGGCCATAATTTCATGTTTTTAAAGAAGCATTTATCACATAAGCCGGATGGCGATATCCTAGTGCTCAAGGCTCTGCGCTGGTGCTGCAACTATTGCAGGTGCAATCGCAGATAGGGGTGACCCGTGAACTGAGTTACTAAAAACCCCATCACCACTTTGCCCTTGAGTCAGACAAAGTTTAGCACAAAAATAAGACTTTTGTATTATTTACACTTTACACTTGCAATTTGTTGCCTACACGTTCATTCTCACTCACAAAGTATCCCTTAATCATCTAATTTATCAATATTAAGCTACACTTTACAAAAACTAATTTTTTGTGGTAATTAAAAAGTAATGGCAACATAACATAGATTTATTTGTATGGTTGTGAGTCAAAAATTGGTTCTTACTCAGAACTGTGTCCATTTTTTTTTCAAACTACTGGAACAGAAGGGTTGTAATGGCATTTCATTTTTTATTTTAACGGCAAGTTAATCATACAGGACGCGAATTATCCAATTCACCAAAATGAGCAAGTCTTTTAAATGAATTGTATCAAATAACTCCTAACAAAAAAATCCTGTTTGAATCAGTTTAATGACTCACTCAGTGGAGCAGTTCTTGGTTTATTCACTAAACTGCAACAAATGACTCTTATGAGCCATTTTTGAGATATCTGTCAAAATAATCAGTCTCAAACTGATAAGTCTGTTTGAATCAGTTTTAGGAGTCAGTCCCTCACCAAATAGGCTATTGACTTATTTAAAGAACTGCAAGTCATTATTTTCGACATGTCCAACTCAAAATGAACCAAAATGTGTCAAATGTCCCATGAGACTAAGGCTCTGTCCCAAATCGCACCCTAAACCTTTGCAGTCTTCCTCTGAGTCCACACTTTTGTGACGTGATGCCGTTTTGATTGTCGGGTAGAAGTCTGCTGCAGAGCTCGCTCCAGTGTGAGATCGGCAGAAGTGTGCATCGAGAGCACCCTTCTGAAAGCTCAACTGACGAATGGGACACCCTACGGTCTCACGGACTTAATGAACATGTGCACACGGCGGCCACTGTAAGTCCGCAAGACAGCAAGTGCACATGAAATGTGCCATTTGGGACAGGGCCAAAATAACTGATACTAAATACTAAAAGAATCAAAACACTGGAATTGTCAAGTGGATTCGGAAATGAAGAATGAAAACGATCCCTATTGCTAGAAGCGTGTGCAATGCAAAGCCATTTGGTCTGTCAAGTAAAAGAGATGTTCTTCAAGACCAGAAATGCAAAATACATGTCAGTCAAACTATAAACCAGTGCCAGTTAAATTCTCAGGCTGGAGCTACAATATATGAGGAGACTATACGTAACTACTCAACGTAAGACACAGCTGAAAAAGCAAAGGATAAGGAACCGCTCACCGGATCTGTGAGCTCCAGGATGCTGGCGCGGTACGTAAGAGGTTTGCAGTCACGGGTGTTGTCTACCAGGCTGCAAGGCAGAAACATTGGGCCCAGGTCATCCCCGTCCAACACATCCACTGTGAGCGTGGTGGTGGCGGTGAGCCGGTCCTTCGGGTTTGGAGCTCGGTCCTGAAGGGAAACACAAACTTTGGACTTAGGGATGGAGTTTGAATCCAACTCCAAAATTCCAAACTTATTCGCCAGCCAAAAAGATTCTCCAGTCAAAGGCAAAGTAAGACATTTTACTGACAGAAAATTGGGCATCTCACTTACTTTTCTAATCCTCTCACTTCAAGCCCTGCATTTTTGTGGTTGAATATCTTGTTTAACCTGGAGTGAAATTGGTTGCAAAATGCTGTCTAGGTCTAAAAAAAAGTCTACACAAACAAGTCCAAGATACTGATTACAGGTGTGGTCACATTAGCAAAAGCTTGGCATAATTTTGTGGGTAAATAAGGTCCATTTTCTACTGTCAACAGTGTAGCGAGTGTATAAAGAACAGCTCACACATAAGTTATTTTCAAACCAAGCAGTTTTCTGTTAGTCAAGGCTACATATCTGTGTGACCAACTTGAACCTGTTGCAAAATCTGGGTGTGGAAATCTTTCACCCTCACACGAAAATCCCAATCGTGTGGATTCCTATTGAATTTCACCAATGAAAATTGGCTGAACAACAGTAAATGTGGCCACACCTTTAAACCTTAATAGTCTGTGCAACTCTTTTCGACTATATTCCAAGTTGTTTGAAGCCTTCATTTGAGGAGCAGACTGAAATTCAAGTCCAACCAATGCCATTTAGCTGCATTTAATGGCAAACACATGGCATGATGTGTCTAAAGGCATTTTTTCTCAATTGAACACAACACCAAATGAGACGTGAGGGATCTGGAGGAGATTTCCAGTGAATAACAGCTTCAATTTCAGTCTGTTTCTCACACAAAGTTCTCATACAACTTCATAAGAAGTCATTTCAGTTGTATAAACTACTTTTTTAGCTCTTTTTTGAAACATTTTTGAGTTTGACAGAGTAAATCACCATCTACTTTTGTTTTACTTTTGTTTTATGGACAAAAGAAACTTGGACACTCTATCTCAGTTTGTGTTCCACAGAAGAAAGAACAAGACATACAGGGTTGGAACGACATGTGGTTGAGTAAATCTTTCTTTCTTTTATCTACTGTATCTCTCCTACTGTTTCTCCTCCTCTTACGTTGGCCTGAATGATGACCAGGTAGCGTGTGATCTCTTCATAATTCAGCCTCTCTCTCAGAACTACTGATCCAGACAGGGTGAGAGGGATGTCGAATGTCCTGTTTGTGGTCTGTGGAGAAGAAAAGGGTAGGTCAAAAGGGTTTCCCTCACACATATGCACACAAAGGCTCACGCACTCCCAGCCTCATGAGATATTCATCATCTATCTGCTTCAGTAAGAAGAGAATGCTGATGGGACAAAACTACTTGACTTTCAAAACCTCCTCACCCTGTTTAGCAGTACAGATGGAGACGCAACACTTTAAAAGGGACATGGAGACAGGATGCTTGGTGCTCTTTTGAAAGCAAAAGTGTTTGATGTGTAAATGGTGTAAAACTTTAATTAGGAAGTGAACATGCAGTAGTAGTCTTGTATAGCCAGACCACTGAATATCAGCATAAAGTCTGGTACACATTTCAAGCTTGCAGTCACATAAACTCGATTATCTTCAGAACATAGTAGACCAAGTGAAAAGGGTTTCCCTCACACATATGCACACAAAGGCTCACGCACTCCCAGCCTCATGAGATATTCATCATCTATCTGCTTCAGTAAGAAGAGAATGCTGATGGGACAAAACTACTTGACTTTCAAAACCTCCTCACCCTGTTTAGCAGTACAGATGGAGACGCAACACTTTAAAAGGGACATGGAGACAGGATGCTTGGTGCTCTTTTGAAAGCAAAAGTGTTTGATGTGTAAATGGTGTAAAACTTTAATTAGGAAGTGAACATGCAGTAGTAGTCTTGTATAGCCAGACCACTGAATATCAGCATAAAGTCTGGTACACATTTCAAGTTATTCAGGTTAAACTCGATTATCTTCAGAACATAGTAGACCAAGTGAACCTAGGTGTGTGACTTTCACTATTTTGTACTGTGTGTTGATGTGTTTAGTTAAATGCATATTTGTTGTATAATTTTACTGAAAAATGTGGTTTAGAGTGTTTAGCTCCTCTCACTTCACTTATGGTAATAATGCTGCTCATTAAGATGCAGTAAGAGAATGTCACAAATTTGCATGTGTAATACCACCATATTAATTTAAATGATTTGCTGGAGTAATTTTATTTGCATTTCATGACATGCGTTTTCTTTGCTATATTTTCTTTGGTGCATTTATTGCAGTTTTGTCGGAATATTTTCATGTTGCTGAATTGTGCTATATGATGCTCGGCGATAATCAATGATGCACAACAATGCAGGTTTTGTACGGTTGTGAAGTAAATCAATTGAAAAGCACCTGTCAGAAAGTCCCTGTACTCCCTTTTTAGCAAGACCATATTAAAAATGTATAAAGAAAAAGAAAATAATACAAATATGTGAGATATATATATATATATATATATATATATGTGAGAGTACCCACTGTTGTAGTACTTTTAAATGCATAAACCTGAAGAGAAACATAAAACTACTGCCGTCAAAAATGTAAAATAACAAAAAATATATAAATAATATAAAATAAAAAATAAAGATGTTATTAATCTTATGATAAAATACCAATATTTTATCTTGCATTACTGACAAACTATTTAAATAAAATGTTACCAACAATTGTATTAAAAATTATTTATATCTAGAATACTACTACTACTTCTACTACTACTAATTAGTATTATTATTTTTATTATTATTGTTGTATTTTCATTTCAATGCATAATCTTTATGTTACATACACGTTATTACAAAAATTTTATTTAAAGACATTAGCTAGTAAAAAAAGAATTAATTTATATGTAGGCCTCAACGTCATCGAATTTCTGTCAGAATTGTGCAAGAGTCAATCACTATTTACTGATAGTTAAAAGTGTCTGTGATTTCTCTTATAAAACAACTTTTTTTTTTCAATGTAAACTCTAAAAATAGGTTAATCTAAAAAATAATTTTTGAAGGTAGACGGTTGAAGATTAGCCAATAGGTGGCTGATTAATCAAAATGATAAGCCGTTTTCATACAAAAGCAGTTTATTCAGTGTAATGAAGCCTTTTCTCCATTGATATCCATTCAAAAAGACACCTCTGGCCTCGTTAGAATTTAGCTAACATTGGAGGCTTGCCTTAAAGTAGCTTTGGTAGGGTACAACGAGGTTAAAGGCACACCTTAAAGGGATAGTTCACCCAAAATGTTTTATTCTGTCAACATTTACTCACCCTCATGTGGTACCAAACCCATAAGACTTCAAACTTTGACAGATTATATTTGACTTGATATTATTAATGAAATCTGAGAGCTTTTTGTCCCTCTACTGAAAGTCCAGGCAACCAAAACTTCCAAAAAAAAAAGGTCATTAAGGCGTTGAACAGTTTAATCCAAGTCTTTAGAGTATATCAACAGATTTAATTAAGAGGTTTATTTTACTTCCAAAATTGAATTTTTTTTATGATCAATACACTTACTGTATATATACTCTCAGAAAAAAAGGTATGAAAGTTGTCACTGGGGCGGAACCCTTTCGAAAGGTACACTTTTGTTCCTTATTTACCCCTACCTTATACATACAGGCATTAGTACCTAGGGTTGCAAAGGGGTGAAAAATGTCCAGTAAATTTCTGGAAACTCTCCAGAATTTTTAGAAACGTTTTGGAAACTTTCAGAACATTTCAAAAACTTCCCTGGAAATGTTCTACCCATTTGCAACCCTGTTAGTACTTAAACTGTACATATTTGTACTTTTTGAGAGGGTGCTGCCCCAGTAACAGCTGTTGCACTTTTTTTTTTTTTGAGAGTGAAGACTACAACAATTATGACAAAAAAGGAAGCTTAAGTTCAGTAAATGTTTACGTTTTAAAGGAGTGGTTGACTGTTTTTTTTGTAGGCTTGATTGAGTTTATGAGGTGCAGTCTAACATGTGTTAATGCTTTGTTTGTTAAAAAACTCATTATTTTTCACATAATTTACCTTTATTCCACACCGCTCTGTCCCTTCTCCTCTGAACATGCTGATCATTTCCTGTTTTATGAAGCCCCGTCCTCAGAAATACACGATGGGCCCTGATTGGTTAGCTGGCCCAGTGTGTTGTGATTGGCTAAACCGCCTCTAGTGCGTGTCTAAACGTCCCGCCCCTCAGCTCAGCAGCATGTGCTCCGGTTGTATTGTAAACAATGGCGTCGTCTACTGTGCTTACCCGATTGCGACGCAGAGGATATTAGTGAAGAGGATCGCGCAGAACCTGTGCAAGCACAGCTTTTAATGGTAGGCCTAAGATTTTTTTGTCTCATACTTTTAGATACGCTGTTATTTGTAAATGCTACTGCTTCTGTTAGCTTTTAATATACAGTTTTATTCTGATTAAAGCTTTAATACAGTACGGCAACCGCACACGCGTCCATGTACAATGCTTCTCATAGCTATAGTATGTGAAAATAAGTGTATTCACTGAGCTGATGATCTGAATGAGAGAGAGAGAGAGATGCAGAGCTTGCGCAGAGCAGGGGGACGCGAGGAACAGGATGAAAACCGCTGCTTTAGAACAGTGATTTTGAAACTTACGAATCCATTAGAATCGTTAGAAGACAGAATCGCGATTCATATATGAATAGATTTTTACATGCACCTGTAGTTTTCTCTTCCTCTTTTCTAAAGCAGCGCAGCATGGCCTCGCCCCCTTTGCTGCGTGTTCCCGGAGGCGGGGTTTATGTAAAATTCTGGGTTCTTGACGTAACAGACCCGGGAAGTAACTCGTTGTAGTCCCTTACCAGTCGTTTTTGT